CTCCCCAAAATGGATTAGTGATACATCCTAAATGAAAAAAAAAAATCATCACTGGCATTTTGCCCTAAAAGGATTTGATAGCACCTTAGATAAGCTAATTACCTCCTAGAATAACAAAAGAAGAAAGCAAATGCAATATACTCTGGATTGAAGCAAGGTATATTTTTCTTCACAATATCATTTAGCAGGTAGAGATACAGCAGATTTGAATCTTAGAACTCAGATGAGTGTTTATAATACATAAAAATAACATAAATCAGAATAGAAACCACTGGCTAGCTGCATAGTTATAGTTTTCCTATTCATTGAAAAATACTTATCATAAGGGGATGATTTCTTTTATATCAGGGCAAGCCAGGACCTTTTTTAATTCAAGTTTAAATTATAATTACAATTCTAGATAAATAAAACACCTGGAAAACTACATGATAAAAAAACTACAGTAAGTGAACTATCATTAGGATACACATATCTTTACAAAGTTCTCTGCCCATTTTTCCACACATTGATGTCAGGAAGAATTTAAATCGCCGTAGGTAGACTAGGAATAACATTGTTTTTAAAAGCCTCCCTACTGAGATGAGTGAAATAAATAAATGAGCCCAAGATTGGTCAAAATTTCATTTATTCATTCATACATTAGGCAGATTTTTACAGAGTAAACCTACTATGTGCAGATATTATGTGCTAATCTTTAAATCACAGAGTAACTTATTCCTAGGTGTGTTTTACCTTGTTGTCTATAAACCTGAAAATGAAACATACAAGTTAAGGGAGATAAAGTATCCCTGTACTTGGCAGTGAGGTGATGTGATTTATCTGAAAGATATACTATCCTATTCATGTGAACACAAGTCTATAAAGAACTACCTACCTTTTATCTTGAAATAAATAATTGCAGTAAACCATAGGGGATGTTTTTCTTCTTATTTGCAATCATGCAGAGCATGATCTGGTAATATGGTTCCAAACATCAGCAAATACAGCGAGTTCTGCAGAAGACTATTTCCCTTCGTGGGACTTACTGCTATGTGAAGTCCAAAAGTGCAGAGGTTGCCGACACTGTTGACATTTTGAGCTATATAATTCTTTGTTGTGAGAGCTATCCTGTGCTTTGTAGGATGTTTGGCAACATCTGTGGCTTCTACCCACTAGACGCCAGTAGCACCACAGCCCCAGTTCCCAGTTGTGACCAAAATGTCTCCAGACATTACTCGGTGGGGTGGGGCAGGGGGCAAAGTCATCCTGTTTTGAAAACCATTGCTTTAAAGGGACACTTCATGGAGGGAGAGGAATTGCAGAGAGAAGGCCCCAAAATGAGCGACCCCAAAAATCTCTCTCTTAACTGTAGATTTCTGATTCAGTAGATATCTAGGTACATCAGCCTCTTGATACTACTGGTCTACCACACTGTACTGTCTAATCCCTTCTAATTCTAAACTGAGGTAAGGGAAGAGGAGTCTTGCTAAAAGGAAAAGAACAGCAAAACAACTCTGCCTAATCTTTTCTCCATCTTCCATTTTAAAAGAACACCAAGTTTCTTTTTTGTTAATTGCTTAACATAACCCCAGAAGTTTGGATAAATATTTGAATACCGACAATGTGCCAGACATATTTCTAGGCACTAGACAGAGACGAATGTATCAACTGCATTCACAGAATTGACAGATCACTCTTATAAACAGCATTGAACAGGCAAATCTTCATGAGATTGGATTTGGCTCAGGAGTCTCAGATATGACACTAAGAGCATGAGCAACAAAAGAAAAATAGACTCCACTGGAATTAAAATTAAAAAAAGCTTTTGTATTTGAAAGGACAGCAACAAGAAAGTGAAAAGAGAGTGAACCGTATAGGAGAAAATATTTGCAAATGTTGTATCTGATCAGGGATCTGAATCTAAAATATGCAAAGGACATTTACAACCCAATAATAAAATAAAATAACCCAAATACAAACTGGGCAAAGTACATGATTAGGTATGTCTTCAAGGAAGATAGACAAATGACCAACAAGCACATAAGAAGGTGCTTGAAATCATTATTCATCATGAAATTCAAATAAAAGAACATAATGAAAACCTACTAGGATAGCTAGAATTAAAAAGTCAGGTAATAATAAATGTTGGCAAGGATATGGGGAAATGGAACCCTACACACTGCTAGAGGGAAGATTAAAGGGTATAAATGCTTGGGAAATAGTCCGGAACTTCTTCAATTAAATGCAGAATTACCATCTGACTGAGCAATTTGACTCCTAGGTATCTACCCAAAGATAGGAAAACATAAGACCGCACAAAAACTGTTCTATGATGTCTGTAGCACCATTATTCACAAAAGCCAAGAGGTTGAAACAAGCCAATGACAGTCATACAATGGGGTATCATTAGCCCACTAAAAATGAATGAACAGGGGTGAATCTTGTCAACATGATGCTAAGTGAAGCAGCCATTCACAAAGGAACACATATTCTATGATTTCATGTATATCCAATGTCCAGAATAAGGAATCTGAGAAGAAATAAGTTGCCTAGTGACTACTTAGGGCTAGGGGGCTGCGAAGCTAGAGTGGGTAAGATACTACAGCTAAAGAGTATGGGGTTTCTCTTGCAGGTGATGAAAAAATTCGAAAATTGACTGGGGTGACAGTTGCACATATCTCTGAATAGGCTAAAAAAACCACTTAATTGAACACTTTAAAAAGGGTGACTCACAAGGTATGTGGATGCATCTTTGTGAGCTGCTTTAAAAAAATAGCATTTAATGTACAAAGGTAAATATGACACTTGGACCATGGTTTGTTAACAAAAATGCCATTTAAAATACTTCAAAACTGTTGAGATGTCATGCTTTGCATTGTGAAGTAGGAAATGATTATTGAATTCTATTTAAACTACTGACAGTGCAGCAGGTAAACATTTTATTTCAAACCATAAAAATCTTGAAAATAAAAAGAAATTAAAATGCAGGCATCAAGGTGCTTCACGAGACATGAAATACAGTGATTAAGCTGCATTAAGGGGCATTAAGTAATTAGATGTGCAGGCTGGAGAGGAGGTAAGCAGGAAGAGTTAAAGAGCTCATCTGAAAGCCTCCGCCTACAAGACGACTCCCTTCTTGAGCTGACTGCAGTGGTGCTGACAGAACACTCCTTCATGTATACTGAAAACCCTCTTCAGGTAGTTAAAAATAATCACCCATATGATTTTCTCCGATAACAAACAGGAAGTTTGTTTGTTATACATACATAAAGGGACAAACACAAAGAAATTTGGGGAAATAAATAAAAAGCTATATCAATTCCCAGGAATGGCTACTGGGAAGTTTTAGCAACCAACATGCTCTTTCCAGCCGGGTCACAGATAGGATCCACGCACAGCTCACCATGCCACTACTGAAATGTTTCAACCTGTGTCGTTTTCAGTCTAATTAAAGCCCATTTCTGTGTTTGCCTTGTGTGATACACCAGTAAAGCTAGCCAAGCTCACTGCGGAGCTCTTAGTATGCCTGGTCTCCAGAGTCCCCAGTGTCCCTGACCTGAAGAATCACCGAAGCCAGTGACAAGGAAATACCCACAGGCTGTGTATGGAAGGGGCGACAGCAGGTTTTTTTAATCCCTAATAAATCTCAGCTTTTGTCTTGGTCATTACAAACAGCCTGAATCATCATCAAGTCGAATGTGGATACCTCATTAAGCACCAAGCCCCAGTTTCAAACCAAAAATTGGGGCTAATTTGGGGGTGCGGTGGCAAGAAGAGAAACAACCGAAGGCGGGACTCGCTTTTTCGACAGTCTCTGATTTCAAAATGACTGCCTTGGAAGCTGAAATAACCCAAATCATTGGGGAAAAGGAGGTGACAGGCATTCATTCACCTGCTGGGTGACTGGCTTGGTGCAGAAATGGGTAACTTGGGCTATGGGGTCGTTTACCGGGAAAGAGAAATAACAGGAATGGTCTTTTAGGTACCACCCACTTCCAAGAGAATCACTGCAGTGTCAGTCTGCACCGATTCTACGAATTTCCAAACAGGATGAGGTAAGGCACAAGCTAGGAGCCTCCCCCCACCTCCTGCGCGCAGAAGGGCGCATCACTAGGCGAGGTGCACCACGCAGCCCCCCGAGGCCTGGGCTGAGGGGCTGACGTCACCCTTCTGCATCGAGCTTCGGGGACCGGTAGCAGCACTGTTTAGAAGGGGAGTAGAGTCGGGGCGCTATTGCTGTCACCAAGAGGTGGGGGTCCTTCCCAGGGCTCTGCAGCTCGGGTTCATGCAAGGACAGAAAGACCAGATGCGGAGTGTAAGATGGAGGGGAGTGGGTAAAGGGTGGTAAGACTCATCTCCTGGTTCTCCGAGAAAGCTCAAAGACGCCCGTGTTTATGTAAGACCCTCTCCCCTCCGTGTGTCTCCCCCACGGCAGCGCCACCCGCTCTCCATCTAAGCGCTGGGGTTGGGGGGGGGTGGGGGGGGCGTTCTGATGGCTCTCGCCCAGCCTGGCAGGCACAGGGCTCCCGGCAGCTCCCTCTCGTAGCCCTGCGGGGTCGGGAATATCTGAGCATTTTGGAGCAAACCCTGCGCTCTCGCGCCCGCTCCCAATCCGCCACAGGTTAGCTCCGAGAGGCGCCGCGTACAGGCAGGTGAGGAAGGATGGAGAGGGGTGTCTAGAGAGCAAAATAGACGAATAAACCTGCAACTTTCCCCAGAGGCTGGACCTATCCCGCGAGGGTGAAAAATAAATTGATGCATTAAAAATGTTTTCGAAAGGTCTACCACCTGCAGTCCCACCCACCACGCCGTCCTTGCAACCTGTGCCAGGCGGGTCCAGGTCCAAGTAGCTGCAAGCCTGCACCCCGCCATCCCGCAGCCCTGGCCGAGCACCAGACGGCTCAAGGAGGGGGCTGAGATTTGATTTGGGGTTTGGGTTTTTCTCCCCTTTTTTTTCCCCGAGCATCCCTACAACCAGTGCTGGATGGCGGTCCAGCCCCCGGCCCGGCGTGGCCACTCACCCAGAAGACGAAGGAGTAGATGATGAGGAGGGTTTTGAGACAGGTTATCACAGGTTTGGTCTCCATTCTCCTCGATGCCATACT